TATTGATTGGCTTATTTTAATTGTTGTGCTGTATTTGTATGCATGGGTTGGTGTATTGTTTTGTATATTTTGTACACAAACATTTTTTTATATGCTAATATGTATCATAATAAATGCAATTTAATTAATAACAAAAATGCCGTTTCTGCTCAGAATGAACCGAAATGAGCAATATTTCATTTTTATGATATTTGCACTGCATTTTTGTTATTCTTGTGTTGACAAACAAGGCAAACTCTACTGTATTTCTTTAGTACAATAGTGAAGAAATGACGATGGGCTTGTGTAAAATTGCTCTGTATTTTGGACACAAACTCTAATATGTGTAGCAAGTTTTCGGGCTTGTAGCTGATACGATCTCACAGAGGAGATTGTGTGACTTCATGTGTCTGTGTGTGTGCGTGTGTGTGTGTGTGACTTCATATGTCTGTGTGTGTGTGTGTGTGTGCGACTTAATGTGTCTGTGCGACTTTATGTGTCTGTGTGTGTGCGTGAGTGTCTGTGTGCATGTGTGTGAGAGTGTGACTTCGTGAGTGTGTATCTTCATATGTGTGTGTATGTGTGTGTGTGTGTATCTTCATATGTGAGTGAGTGAGTGTGTGTCTTCATCAAAGGTATGACAGGTATTACAAGGAGATGGTGACTTTTCAGGACATCACCCCATGTCCCCACTTTTCAAAACGAGTGTGTGTATGTGTGTGTGTGTGTATCTTCATATGTGAGTGAGTGAGTGTGTGTCTTCATATGTGTATGTGTGTGTGTGAGTGAGTGAGTGAGTGTGTCTTCATATGTGTATGTGTGTGAGTGAGTGAGTGTCTTCATATGTGTGTGTATGTGTGTATCTTCATGAGTGAGTGAGTGTGAGTGAGTGTGAGTGTGTGTGTGTGTGTGTGTGTGCGCGCGTTTATGTGACAAATGAGGACATAAATTTGTATAATGACAAAGGTATGACAGGTATTACAAGGAGATGGTGACTTTTCAGGACATCACCCCATGTCCCCACTTTTCAAAACGATTATATATCACACAGAATGGAGTGTATTGAAAATCTGAAATAGCACAAAGTTTCCTGAAGGGCAATATAAAATATGGTCTGTACAGTATAAAAACCATTACACCTATGGGATGTCTCCACTTTTCACAAAAACAAACCTGTGAGTGAGTGTGTGTGTGTGTCTTCATATGTGTGTGTATGTATCTTCATAAGTGAGTGAATGTGAGTGAGTGTGTGTGTGTGTGTGTGTGTGTGTTTATGTGTGTGTGGCCGTGACCTCACCTGTCTCTCACAGTAGGCCTTCATGAGCTTGCTGAGGGGTGTGTGTCTCTTGATTTTAAACTGGACCACTGACCCATCCTGTCCCGCCACCTTCAGGTTGATGTGGTCGTTGTTCTCCGTCTTTACCCCCTCCTGAGAAAACAAAAACAAAAAGTTTACGAGATATTACATCATTCTTCCTTGCATATTTTATGCACACATCTCATTTGCAATCCTTGAATTTAATTATTTATAGACATTTCCATTAGCTGCTGGTTTGGAAATCTCAGTGTGAAACATAAAAATGCATTAAATAGAGTAGTTAGTTAAAGAACAAAGAAGCTTGACATGTCTTGAGTCGGGCTGGATCTGTGCTCTTGGACAGCGGCCGTTTCTAGTATCCAGAGTTTTCTATGCTCCCTTCAGTTTCTCACAATAGACTACCGAAGTAACCGATATAAATATTCGGTTGTTAAGGGAAATTTCTTTTATTTATATTTTTATGTATTCATTTTTTAAAGAAGGCATTGTATGCATCTGCTGTATGTCTGTTTCGCAGAGAAAGCCAGAAGCTAACATGTGACTTATGGTCAGTACAAACACTAATTTTAGTCCTCTCACTATTTGAGGTACACATCATATAATGTGGTCTTATGATTAAACTGTAATTTTCATAATGGATATGAATGCTGTCCATCATAAACCTGACCAGGATGGATACATGGTTTGAAAATCCAATGCTATAATAAACAAACGTGTACACGTGCATGTTCATCTTTACGGTGGCTTTGAGTGTTATTAGCAGTGCTGTGCATGAGCTGCTGTGCTTCACGTGATGAATGGATGCAAATGTGAGCATCAGACTCGCATCCTCAGCAGACAACATGTTTCCATCAGGTCCTAAGCTCGGAGCTCGCACGTGACGGCAGCTACAGCATTTATCCACCACGCGCGACATTTCACGTTAAGAAATCAAACCATCCGCGTCCCTCCGTGTTTTCGCAACCCCTCGGGCGCTTTGAAAGGTAACCAATAATAACCGACCCCTTCGTGTGTAAACGCCACTCACCTTGGGTTTCTCGTCGGCCATGGTTATTGTATCTGCGCTTCTCGACGCAGCCGCACAAAGACTCCGCGGGGACGCGCACGTCCGCGCCCCCGATTAAAAGCAGGCGCGGCGTGCGCGGTCACGAGCTCCGTCGCCATTGGCCAGAGCGGGTGACGTCATGCGCGAGACCAGGGAGCCGGGGTAACACGCACGCGCATTCGTGCACAGTGTCTTCTCTTGAGAAAAAAAAAAGTGACCAAATATGAACAAAAATAACACAAAGCGACGGCGATTCTCATATGTGCTCAGATATACGACAGGGGTGTATATGAGTGTATTCGTTTATTCTAGGAGTGTTGCGTTGATGCTGAGGGAAGGATCCTGTTCTCCTCGCGCTGGAGGGGAAGGACGCCATTTTGTTCTTCATGTAACTCACAGATCAGTCTGAATGTGCCTCATTAATAATTCAAAACGAGTGTGAGCAAACTACAACAGACATGAGATGCTCATTCTGAACCTCTATCCAGAAACATGTTACCCCATTAAAGTGACAGTTCAAAAAATACATTAGGACAGTATATAAACAGTATTTTAAAGAAACACTACACGCTGTCCCGAAATCTTTATTTCATTTCTATATTCTGATAAAAAAAAACACAGCAAATGAAAATGAAAAATATCATATCAAAAGTAACATAACACCGTTGATTGTACAGTTAATGACACACTACCCGGCAAACCATTTTTGGTTGCCAGAACGTTATTTGTTATGGTTTGTTATTGGTTAGCCAAGTTTTCTTAACGGAAATAGAACGTTCGTTTTTGGTTTGTAGAACGTTATTCTAACGTTAATCTAACGTTCCCATAACATTAGTATAGCGTTCCCAGAACGTTATTTTGTTAAGGTTTGCTTTTGGTTAGCCAGGAAAGCAACCACATGTGACGACCCCGGGCTGGACTCCGCTTCGTCCACAGTGAGAGCTGATCCGGCGATCCACAGCGCAAAGTTATTGTATTTCCTCAGAGACCAGCACGGATCAGCTCCAGGCATGACGAAGCAGATATCGTAGGGTGACCGTACGTGCCGTTTTCCCAGGAAACATCCTGACCAGGATTTCTATATTGCCTAAAATATCTAGGTTTTGGCAAAACGTACTTACAGGTTGTGAGTCAGAACAGCCGGCATTGTAGTCTACTCTCCCAGGATCAGGAAACAGTCCTCCATAAAATGTGCTCCACACATCTGAATATTTGGGTTGAAGTGTTCTGGAACAGTGTTGTAAATACAACTTAACCACTGATTTCTAGTCGTGTCCTCTTTTGGAAGACCAAACAAAGTAGTTTTGCTTTCATAATGAAAAACAGTGTCACACACGGTGGGTTAGAGTGAGCAGAGGCCGGGGGCTTGAGAACGGCACGGCCGGCTCTTCCCACATAGTGATGTAGACATGTGGGGGCGTGTTAGAACGAGCCGTTTTATGGGGGTGTGGCTGACTCTTAACTTTTATAAAGAATATCTCTTTAGATTTGAGACTTTAGTCTTTGCAACTCTACAGATCTTCTTTATGCACCAAGAGCTTGTAACACTCCAAAGAGAAAGGAAAAATTGAAATCGCATCATATGACCCCTTTAACGGAAATAGAACGTTAGTTTTTGGTTTGTATAACGTTATTTTAACGTTCCCTCTTTATTACATCAATAATCATCCCGCACACTCACGACCCATTTTTCTTTTGATCATTAAACTTCTCGATTAACATGTTTTCTTCAGTTAGGCATGTCAAATCCCCTGAAATCATATTTACTCTCATAACTATATGCATTTTAAGTAATCATACAGTAATAAACGAACGAGTCAGTCAACCAGTAAAACGAACCTTAATTTATCAATTCCGCGAGCGCGTGCAGATCAGAGGCGCGCAGTAAATGAAGACACAAATTTATGTTTTCTGTTCTTAACACTGGCTTAATATTATAATTTAAAACGCGCTTTGATTGATCTAATTGATGTATTTTAGTAAAAGGTCATTACACAAAAACATCTACAAGGTTTTTAGTTTACAGGGTTATAGAAGTAACCTAAGTATAGCCATTAGGTTATTGAAAAATAACCACCCTGCGTTCTGGGAATGTTATTTTATGGTTGCAAAAAAATAAAACCTAAAAAGAACGTTCCCGGAACGTTGTTTCTTGGTTCTCAAAAAATAACCAAAAACGTTAGGGGAACGTTCTGTGTTTGCTGGGTAGAACAGAATTTTTTTTTGGCTTTACAAACAACGACCCTAATTTTACGCTAAATCAGCTTTAATTAAAACATATAACTAACATTTTTGCATCTTATAATAATCAGATAACTAGTTAACGTCCATTCAAATCGCTAGAATTGTCCTCGGACCACTGCAATACCGTCACCGACCAGCAGGGGCCCAGAGAACAGCGCGAAATTATGTAAAAATAAATAAATAAATAATAATAAAAAAAAAATCTTATTTTTACAATTTTATTCTGTGCGTAATGCAAACATGACAAACATTTGTGAATGGCATGTGCAGTCATTAAACATTGCTGATAATTCTACAACAATGGTCGTAATAATAACCATATTACTAATAATAAGCGCATTTACATATAATTTTATTGCGCTGCTTATTTAAGTGTCGACTCGCATTTTGCTCAGGCATTCAGTGCGTCGTATTAACCGCGCAGGCATCGGGGTCCTTCAGACTCATGGCGCTGGATTCTGAGCGCTGCGTGTGTTGAATGTTGTTCAGATAATACGGCCGTATTACAATTTTTATACAGTCTGTGATTACAACTTTATACGTCGGTATTTCTAGGAAGGATTTAATATCGCGGTGTTATGGAGGAGGTGGATGTTGAGCCCAGTCCCACGGTAGTCGCTGATTTAAACACTTTCGTCTATGCATATGAATATTAATGCACGGTACAAATATGTATATGTGAAGAATACGCATGTGGAACATTTATAAAGTAGTTACCCTTAAGGTAATATCATGATACTAAAATAGATACAAAGTAATACACCATGGTATGTTTATATATGTGTAATATAACAAATATGTATGTTATATGTTGTGTTTGTATATATGTTTAAATATGCATGCATGCAACAACAACAAAAAATCTTATATTTAATTATGTGATCCTTGCAGCTCATTCCCAGCGCTGGATTTCACCAGAGGCATTTGGGTTTTGAATGGGGTCCTGGAGATCTGTTAGTCTATGAGACGAACTACAAACTGCAAGGTATTCACATCCACAGACACTAGAAAGACTAAAGAGGGATGTGGAGATGAAAGCTGTCAGAAAGCTCATCGGTGCTCTCTGTTTTGCTCAGGTCCGAGGTCTGCTGGCTCTCCGTTCGTTCACGTCGTGTGGAAGGATGAAGACATCTGCTCTCCCATCCTGCGCAAACTCTTCAACGAGTCCCATCTCATCTTCGTGGGGCTGCAGAAAATCAAAGAGGACGTGCCCAGCAAAAACAAGAAGTCACAGTGAGTCCTCGTGCCTAGTAGTGTGGAAGTGCATTCTGTTGAAGCGATGTGATCGGTGTCATTGTCTCCTGCAGGTTTGTGAGCATCAGTAAGAACTACAGGTCTGTGATCAGAGCCTGTATGGAGGAGCTGCAGCAGAACGCAGGTAAACGCCGCATGACACGCATCGCACACGAGGAGGATGCTTTTGATCCGCTGATCACACTGTCGTCGCTCTCTTTTCAGTTTCAACACAAGAGGGTTCTTTAGCGTCACAGTATGGAGATCAGGTACTGTCAAGTCCACAGGCTAAGATCCACATCAACTCAAAACTGACTGATGTATTGTATCCGGATGACCAGTGCAGTTGTTTAATTCTGCGATTAGGCAGATATGCAGTTAAACAGGCACATTTTCATCATAATCAGAGTTGTTATTGTTAACAGAATTTTTTACTAAAAGTGAAATAAAATAAAGTACACATTTTAGATGCAGAAACTAAAATGACTCCAATTGGATCTGAAATAAAAATGAATAAAAACCAAAATCTTTAAAAGCTAAATTAAAGTAAAGAAAATATAAAAATAAAAAGGAATTAAGCATGTTAATAAATTCTGTAATAGTATATTAATGATTATTGTGCATGCTTTATTTTATAAAGGTAAATTAATCATTAGATTTACAACAGAAAAAAATAAATATGCATGCATTTATAAAGATAAGTTAAACACTAGATTACAAAATTAAAACAGTATGCATGCATGCATTCTAAATATTATTTTATATGCTTGATAAAGATGAATGAATGATATTAGTGGTCGACCGATATGGGTTTTTTGACGATGCCGATATCTTGGAAAGCAGGGTGGCCGATATAAAGCCGATATAATTTTATATTTAAGAAATTTGAAATGGATTAAAATAATTGTGTAAAATAAACGTACTTATACTTTAGAAGACAAAGCATTTTTCACAAATAAATAAATATTTAATAAAAATCTAATTAAAAAGGAAGTAAACACTGTAACCAACAGGGCGCTCGGTATTCTGGGAAGTTTTTGTGCATTGGGAATCATATATATTTTTTAAATAAAGCCAAGGTAACACTCATTTTACATACAGCACACAGTGGAAATGACATGAATATGGCAGTGGGCAAATGCATAAATCGCAGCATAATTTGAAATCACGAGTTTGTCGATGGCGCGTCTCCAGTGAAGCTGAACTCTCCTCCTGTCCGCATTCAATTTGCACGGACCGACCGTCACCCAGAGAACACGCGATGATGCAGGATACAACTGCACACTAGGGTTGTGACGGTGAGGAAATTTTCCCACCGGTTAATCGACGTGGGACAAAACCGGTATCACCGCGGGGGAGGGGCGTTACCTCTTTTCCTCGCTTTCCTTCGCTTTTAAATAGCTTGTAAAAGCGGTGTGCCCATTTTACTTTCACCTTAAAATAGCGGCAATTTGGAGTAACGTTAAAGCAATTGCTCGTTTTTAGTTCGTTTGAGTTTTCCCTCTTTTCCTCGCTTTCCTTCGCTTTTAAATAACTTGGCGGCAGTTCGGCGTCAATTGCTTGAATGCAACAACAAAATACAACGCCAAACTCACTTTAGCCTATATATAAAACATAGAACTTTTATTAACAAAACAAATAAAAACACACCATGCTATAGGGCAGGCTATGCCTGATATAAAATAACAAATAACTTGCATAAAGTTTAATAGGTATGCAAAACTGGAAATAAGTAAACATGTATAATATATAACCAAATAAATAAGAAACGTAGAACGTTTATTAGCAAAACGAATGTCAAATAAAATAAATAAATGACACAGTTTAGATAAAGTAAAAATCGGCAAATAATTTGGAACCAATTAAATATATTTAAACGAATGTTTAAAAAAACTTCCAAAATCACCTTAGATAAACGGCAAAAGTCAACTGGCTTTTCAAAATCCAAAATATTGCCAAACAGGTGCTTTTGCATCTCGTTTCGAAACCAAGTCATCCGCGATCGTCTTGTCTGTCTCACCCCACTGATCTATTTAGCCGTTACGGATCAGTGGTCTCACCTCACTCTTCTTGTGTGTCTCACCTCACTCTTCTTGTCTGTCTCACCTCACTCGTCTTGTGTGTCTCACCTCACTCTTCTTGTCTGTCTCACCTCACTCGTCTTGTCTGTCTCACCTCACTCTTCTTGTCAGTCAGCTCGACTCAGGTGCTTTTGCATTTAGTTTATAAACTAAATCATCCGCTATCGTCTTTTTCGGTCTTACCTCACTCTTCTTGTCAGTCAGCTCGACTCACTCTCCTCACTGGAGAAATGAAATCTGATCTGTGAAGCGACTGTCGTTCGGGTACGCTGCAGTGAGCATCCGCGTTCAGTTTTTAATTGTAGTGTCTGTTCTTTTACGGAACTAAATTATTTTTATTGCTATAAAAAATCAAAACGACGGTGGGGGTCGGACCACTTGAATGATTATTACAACCATAAAAACATTGATGCATTCTGTATTTTCATAAAACAACACTAGATTACAAAATTAAAACAGTATGCATGCATGCATTCTAAATATTATTTTATATGCTTGATAAAGATGAATGATTATTACAACCATAAAAACATTGATGCATTCTGTATTTTCATAAAAACAAGTTAATTAAAAGTGATGTTAAATAAGTTTTTCTAAAACTAAAAATTTCTTTTTTATTGCAATGTAATGGCTTCCTCTGCCTCTGAAACAATCTTTCCGCTGACACAATCAAGGACACATGAGCAAAGAAAAAATAAAGTTATGATCCAATCAAATCTCTAATGAAAGTACTGTCCTCATGATTTCAGCTGAATATTCTGTCACATGAGTGAAGTTAAACGTTCGTCTGATCTCTCTAGGTCTCTATTCTCTTGGCGATCGAGCTCATATGGAACTTGTGTGAGGTTCTCTTCATCGACGCAGCTCCAGGTAGAGAGAGACGTCTGAAATTTTCAGGAGTCCAAATCTAAACAGAACGTTTTTTCTAGTTTGTCTGACTTGGTTTTGCTCTCATGTTGCAGCCGGGTCTCTGCTGCTCCACCTGCTGGATTGGGTGCGTCTGCACAAGTCAGACGTGGACGCGAGAGCGCGAGAGGTGTTACAGAGCGACAGCCCCGCCCATCATCAGTCCTACTGGGACGTGGTACGAAGCACATGAGCTCTGACCTCCAGAACCTGTGCATATCATCACCCGTGTCCTTACGTGTGTCTTTGTGTGTGTGCAGGTGATCAGTTTAGTCCTGCAGGGCCGCGTGGATGAAGCCCGTCAGGTGCTGTCCAAACAGGCGTCTCTGCGGGCGGAGAGCAGCTCTGTGTTCAAACGCATGGACGTCCTGTTACATACCATGCCCATCTTTAACGTACGTACATCTTTTCCTAAACCTGCTGAGAACATGTATTTCACCCCAAAATCAGAAGGAATTATATGCTATTCAAGAAAATGAAGCATATTTTAATGGTTCGCAGTATGTTTACATTATATTCATGCATTTAAACGCTAAATTCTTAATACTGCAATGCAAACAATATATTTACAAAAAAAGATTACACTGTTGTTCAAAATGTTTCTCGAGCAGCAAATCAGCATATTAGAATGATTTCTGAAGGATCATGTGACTCTGAAGACGGGAGTAATGATGCTGAAAATTCTGCTTTGATCACAGCAATAAATTACATTTTATAATATATTCTCATAGAAAACAGTTCTTTGAAATTGTAATAATATTTCACAATATTATTGTTTTTACTGTATTTTTGATCAAATAAATCCAGCATTAGTGAGCAGAAGACTTATTTAAAAAAAAACATTATTAATCTTACTGAACCCAAACTTTTGAATGGTAGAGTACATTTTATATATTATATAATACATTATTTACAGTTTTAAATATATATGTAATATATGTGACCTTGGACCACAAAACCAGTCATAAGGGTACATTTTCTGAAATTGAGA